ATTTGCTTCCATGTATTTTTTGTATTTCTTCTTTCATTATCTGATTAACCCATTCATTCTTCAATAAGATGTTTTTTAACACCCATGAATTTATGGTCTTTCCAATTTTTTTTCTTGTGATTGACTTCAACTTTCATAGTATGGTGGTCTGAAAATATGCATGGTATGATCTCAATCTTTTTGTACTTTTTGAGGCCTGATTTGTGACCCAGTATGTGATCTATCCTGGAGAACCTTCCATGTTCACTCGAAAAGAATCTGTATTCTGATGCTCTAAGATGTAGTGTTCCAAATACATCTGTTAAGTCCATCTGGTCCAGGGTGTCATTCACAGGCCTTGTTTCCTTGAAGATTTTCTATGCAGATGATCTGTCCATTGCTTTAAGTGGGGTGTTAAAGGCCCCTAATATTATGTATTGTTAACAATGAGTTTATTTATGTTGTTACTATTCATTTATATATTTGGGTGTTCCCAAGTTGGGGGGCATAAGTATGTACAATTGTTAAATCTTCTTGTTGGAGAGACCCCTTGATTGTGATGTAGTGCCCATTTTCATCTCTTGTTACAATCTTTTGTTTAAAATATAGTTTGTCTGATGGGCATTAAGGAGGGCATGTGACATCCATTAGCATGATAAATGGTACTCTATCCCCTCACTTCCAATCTGCAGGTGTCTTTAGATCTAAAATGAGTCTCTTGTAGGTAGCATATAGATGGGTCTTGGTTTTGTTTTTGTTTTTATCTATTCTGATACCCTACGTCTTTTGATCGGAGCATTTAGTCTATTTATATTCCAAGTGATTATTGATAGATATGAATTTATGCCATTGTATTACCCATAAAATTGTTATTCCCGTAGATTGTCTCTGTTCTTTTCTGGTCTTTGTTACTTTTGGTCTTTCTTTCCCACTCAGAGTCCCCTTTAATGTTTCTTGCAGGGCTGGTTAAGTGATCACAAACTCCTTTAGTTTTTGTTTGTCTAGGAAATTATTTATCCCCCTTTCTATTCTGAATGACAGCCTTGCCAGATAAGAGTATTCTTGGCTGTATATTTTCCCCATCAGCACGTTGAATATATCATGCCACTCCCTTCTGGCCTGCCAGGTTTCAGTGGAGAGACTTGTTAACCTTATTTGTCTTCTCTTGTACATCAGGATTTTCTTTTCCCTTGCTGCTTTCAGGATTTTTTCCTTACCTCTGTATTTTGCAAATTTCACTATGATATGTCTTGCTGTTGGCCTGCTTTTGTTGATTTTGATGGGAGTACTCTGTGCCTCCTGGATTTGGACGTCTGTTTCCTTCCCCAGATTACGGAAGTTTTCACCTATAATTTGCTAAATAAACCTTCTGCCCTTTTTTCTCTCTTCTTCTCCTGGGACTCCTATGATACGGACATTATTACATTTTATGGAGCTTCTGAGTTCCCTAAGTCTATAGTCATGATCCAATTTTTCTTTCCCTCTTCTTCTCACCTTTATTATTTTCCATAATTTTATCTCCTATATCACTATTCATTCCTCTGCTTCTGCCAGCCTTGTAGTCATTACATCCAGTCAGTTTTGCATCTTGTTGTAGCATTTTTTATTTTGGCCGACTAGTTTCTTATGATTGTTGTTTTAAATTCGGGTTCAGGTGTATTACTTCTATCAGTTTTGATTAGATCCCTGGCAGTGACCTCTTCGTCTTTCTTTTGGGGTGAATTCCTCCATCTTGGTATTTTGTCTAGGTCTCTGTCTTCTGTGTGTTATGAAAGCGAGTCATGTTTCCTGCTCCTGGGAGTAATGGCTATATTAAGAAGAGGTTCCAAGGCCTGGTGCTTCATGAAGTGTTTCTGTTATATGCTCTATGCATTCAGCTGTCATGTTTTGGCTGCTCTTTCCCTCAGGTCAGTCCTCTGCAGAGTTTCTCCTTTCCTGCAGTGGGGAGTATTTGGACTTTTTCCAGTTGTGTGACAAGTTTTAACTAGGTGTGTTTTGGTTGGCTTAAAAGAGGCTAGTCCAGGGCGCCTGGGTGGCTCAGTCAGTTAAGCATCTGACTCAGATTTGGACTAGGGTCATGATCTCAGGGTTGGGAGACTAAAGCCCATGTCAGGCTCCACATTCACCATGGAGTACTTGAGATTCTCTCTCCCTCTCCCTCCCCTCTGACCCTCCCTGCATGTGCTCTCTCTGAAAGAAGGAAGGAAAGAAGAAAAGGAAGGAAGGAAAGAAGGAAGGAAGGCAGGCAAGTTAGAGCCTATTTCTCTTAGTGCTTAAATGTTGCAGTACTCTATGGTCAGTAGGCGTGATGCATGCAGGGGATCTGTGTGATCTTCTGCCGGGGATAGGGGGAGCCTGCTGCTCCTGTGACTCTCAGGCACATTTGCCCTAGTTCAGAAGCACCTGCAGAGTGCAGAGGAGTGGGGCTTGGTGTAAGTGGCTCAAGCCTCCACTGTGGGGTGCCATGCTGCTCAATGACGTTCACCTGTGTTGATGCAGAGGGAAGAGGAAATGACATCAGCTTGCTTTCTTGTCCCCAGAGAGGGGAGTTTATGCCCACCACTGTACAGGAAGCCCTCAGAGATGAGCAAACAATCTCCCCTGCTGTGTCCCAGGCTTCTGTCAGATCTTTGCCTTCACCCTGTCTGTGTCTGAGCTGTCTGTCCACATAGTGGTCCTGTTTTATCTCAAGCATGCCCACTGGGTTTCAAAACTCCAAATTTTAGGAACCTGGCATGGCATAGACCTATGCTGATCCTCTGTGGGAGGGTCTTGCTGTGCTGTGGCTAGTGACACTTTATCCCAGAAGGGCAGCTATACAAATGCCCAGGGACTTGGAGTTTATGGTAAAGCTCAGCAAAAATCTGGGGTCCAGTTAGCTGCCCTCAGCAGCTCCCTCTGCTTGTATGCTAATGAACAGGGCAGCTCAATGGCACCTGTGGGAGAGTCAGCCTGTGTTCTGAATCCAGGCATTGACTTTACCTTTATTGACTTTATTAAAGTCCTAGATGGCGTCTTCTTCCAGTATAAGGTTATCTTGTCTACAATGAAAATCTGTTGTTTAGTGTAACCACCTTCATTAACTATTCTAGCTAGATCTTTTGGATAACTTGCAGGATCTTCTACATCAGCACTTGCTACTTCATCTTGCACTTTTAGTTATGAAGATGGCTTCTTTCTTTAAACCTTATGAATCAACCTCAGCCTAGCTTCAGACTTTTCTTTTGCAGCTTCCTCACCTCTCCCAGCCTTCAAAGAACTGAAGAGTCAGGGCCTTGCTTGGGACTAGGCTTCGGCTTAAGGGAATGTTGTAGCTGCTCTGATCTTCCATCCAGACCATTAAAACTTTCTCCATATCAGCGATAAGGCTGTTTCATGTTCTTATCATTCATGTGTTTACTGGTCTAGCACTTTTAATATCCTTTAAGAACTTTTCCTTTGCATTCACAACTTGGCTGTTTGTTGCAAGAAGTCTAGCTTTTGGCTTATCTCACCTTTCAACATACCATCTTCATTGATCTTATTCGTTTCCAGCCTTTGACTTAAATTGAGAAACAAGTGACTCTTCCTTTCACCTGAACACTTAGGGGCCATTGTGGGATTATTAAATAGTCTAATTTCAATATTGTTGTGTCTCAGGGAAAATGGAGGTTGGAGGAGAGGGCGGGAGATGGGGGAACAGCCAGTTGGTAGTAGAGTCAAAACACACACATTTATTGATGAAGTTCATCATCTTATATGGGCAGAGTCTGTGGTGCCTCAAAGCAATTACAATAGTAACATCAAAGATTACTGGTCATAAATATATAACAAATATAAGGATAATGAAAAAGTTTGAGATATTGCAAGAATTGTCAAAATGTGACAGAGACATGAGGCAAGCAAATGCTACTAGAAAATGGTATAGACAAATTTGCCCAGTGCAGGGTTGTCATAAGTCTTCAATTTGTATAAAATGCAGTATCTGCAACATACAATAAAGCAAAGTGCAATAAAACTAGGTATGCCTATACAAACTTTCAGTTATAAATGAGGTCTGAGAAGCTAATATAACTATAGCTGACAACACTGCATTACAGAACTGAAATTTGCTGAGAGTAGAACTTGTATGTCTAACCAAAAATAAAAGTATGTGAGGTGTTGAATGTGTTAATTAGATGAAGGGAATCCTTTCACTATATATATATGGCTATTAATTCATCACATTGTATATTTAAATATCTTACAATTTTTCAATCATACCTCAATAAAGCTGAGAAAAAAACCAAAAAATTAGAAACTATTGGAATTCTCCAAATATTAAAAAAAGTCCATTTCCATTTTTCAACTACTTTACCATACATAAACTGGTTTTCCAAAAAGTTCATCTCCATAGTTTTTTTTTTTTTCCAGTGCAACAGCAACCACCCAATCAAAAGATATTTATGTAAAAATATTTGTTCTTGAAAACAGGTTAAAAGAGCAGTTTGCTAGTTGCCACTGGTTAAAGAAAAGAAAAAGTAGTTAATAAGCACTAACTTCTCTACTGATACCCTAACTTCTCTACTGATACTTCTCTACTGATACATCTGCCTCTCCAGGTATGGTTCTCTAAATTCTAGTCAAGATTATAAGAAAAATGATCCTCTAATGCATATGATGAGACACCAGTAATAAAAACTCTATAGAGGCCTAGTCTTCCATCTGAACCAACCTGAAACTTGAAAGAGAAAGAATATAAAGGTACTACCACTCATAGTATCACTTAAAATTATCTCCTTTTTCCTCCTTTTTCTTTTTTTATAAACACACATAAAACCACAAAACCTCAAAACCTCTATGAAAACACTTTTACCCTAATTAATTATTTTTGAGAATTAAAGGAATCACTTGAAGAAAAATAATTAATTATGCAGATTATAATCAACACTGTCATTAACTTTGTTACTTAGTGACTTTTTAATAGATGGAGAAATATAAAAATAGTTTCAATCTACAATGAGAATTCTCACTTGTATTCAATAAAGAATTCAAGTTCTTACCTTAAAAGTGACATTTTTTGCCTTATACGTAGCAAAATATGGTTGTTCCAAAAGCCACAATGATGTAAGAATGGCAGCTGTAGAGGTCTTTACACGAATGACAGGACTATACTCCCAGGATAACTCAGTGAGAGTAGGATCACAGGGCAGTCTTTTATTAGACCACCTTATCAACCATTCCAGCAGCCTTCTTATACTGCCAAATGTGTTATTTAGTGCTAGAGGAAGATCTTCTTGAGGGTTAATATCATTGCACTGAATTGCTTTAAAAATATACCTTCTAGTTTTGTTGAACTTGGGAGTCCAAAAAATATGGTTTGACAATTTCTGGATTACAGGTTTCTCTGATTTGTCATCTTGTATTCTGTAAACTGACTTTTTTTTTAAACCAAACAATCCACTTGTCCCATCCTTTTTGTCGACTTCATTCAAAGGGCTCTCTAAAAATGGCCCAATTCCTTGATTAACCGGGACTAAAGCTGAAAGTTCTTGGTTTTCTGATTTTTCAGACTCATAAGACTCAGAAGCAACAAAGCAGGAGCCAGCTCTAAACACATTCTGGCTTTTGGTTTTGGCTTGACGTCGTTTTAATGTTGTATGCACATCAAAAAGTAAAGAATTAAGTTCGTTTTCTCTAAGATGTCCAGAAAAACTGGTTAGAAATGGAATGCCAGGATCCTTGGAATCAAGTAGGTCTCTTTCAAGAACATAACTCAAGAAGAGATCAAGAAACTTAATATATTCATCATCATCACGTTCAAATTCCCAAACACCTATTACAGGAAGTGCATTTTGTAATAACTTTTCATGATCTTTTCTTTCAAGATTTTTTTTCTGATTACCTATCTTCTTTTTTTCATTGGACTTATCAGTCAATGTAAATTCCATGTGATTTGGGGTATTTCTAGCAAAACAAAGTTAAAAAAGACAAAATTAATAACTAGAACAGATATTAGAATTACAACAAAAATTCTCTCCACTGATTGAATCATGTATCTTTTAATGCCTCAATGTCTTTCAAATGAGGGGGTCAGACCAAATGATCTCTAACTGTTTACTAGAGCTAAACATTCTGATTCAAAAATATAACACATTAGTACCAAAAGGGGGAAATTTGTGTTAAAAAAAAAAGACTGAAATGGGGGCGCCTGGGTGGCTCAGTCAGGTAAGCATCTGCCTTTGGCTCAGATCATGATCCCAGGGTCCTGAGATCAAGTCCCACATCAAGCTCCCTCCTTGGCAGGGAAGCCTGCTTCTCCTTCTCCCTCCAGCAGCTGCTCTCCCTGCTTGTGCTCACTCTCTCTGTCAAATAAAAAAATAAAATCTTTTATTTAAAAAAAAACTGAAAAAAATTAAAAAATTTAAAAAAAGACTGAAATGTGTTCACAGAAATTTCACCTTAAAAAATATGAATTTTTTTCTGAAACAAAAAAAAGGTCCACTAATGTGTCAGAATTTAGGAATATAAAGTCAATAAAAATCATAAGCCACCAACATACATATTAATTTAAGGTTTCTTATTTTTTACATCTGCCCCTTTCAGCTTTCCCTGTACAATATGCAACAAGGAGGACTGCTCTCAAGATTCTGCTACACGAAAGTGGGGAATTTTTTCAAAACTTTCTGCTGCTACTAAACCTGTTAGGCAAACCCTTTAACTGCCAGTCATAATTACTTTTAAATCTGTTTCCTTTCAACATGGTCCTTAGGGAAGAACACAGATTCCCAGTTCCCTCAATAAAAGAAATAAAGGGTTCATATTAAGGCACCTGACTGAAGGCACCATGTCTCTCCTTATTAAAAAGTCACAATAAGCAGCCTCCAGTGTAACCAAAATTGGCGAAGTTCACAATTTATAATACTATGAGGTATGATTTAAGCAGATGTTTATGTTTGAAGAAGATAAAATTATTTCATTTGAGAAGATTGTGGTTCATTTTGTAGACTTCTAGTCGTGAAAAGGATAAACTGCATGGCAGATAATGGAATTATAAAGAAAAATTTTACCTAGAGCAACAGAAGTTTAAATGATAAGAATTTCTCAACAATTTATAGACAAGTTTCAAAGATGAATGTGCAATTTCCTTTCCCTGGAAACCTTTAAAAATAATTTAGCTGGGGCACCTGGGTGGCTCAGTGGGTTAAAGCCTCTGCCTTCGGCTCAGGTCATGATCCCAGGATCCTGGGATCCAGCCCCACATCAGGCTCTGCTCAGCTGGGAGCCTGCTTCCCCCGACAACCCCGCCTGCCTCTGATCTCTGTCAAATAAATAAATAAATAATCATTTAAAAAAATAATTTAGCTAACCCAATAATCCTAAATTACTTAAATCTAAAGATTACTAAAAAAACTAAAATGGGGCGCCTAGGTGGCTCAGATGGTTAAGCATCTGCCTTCACCTCAAGTCATGGTCCCAGGGTCCTGGGACTGAGCCCCACAAGGGGCTCCCTGCTCAGCTGGGAGCCTGCATCTCCCTCTCCCTCTGCCGCTCCCTCCATGCTCATGCTCTCGCTCTCTCTCAAATAACTAAATAAAATCTTTAAAAAAAAAAAAAAAAACCTAAACTAAAAGCTCCCCAGTGAACTCTAGAATTTCATCTACTGACCTGATTTTATACTATCAGGTAGCAAAATTATTTCATATCTCAATAATATTTTCAATTGTACATTTTATACTCCTAACATCCTTGTGAGTCAGGGAGGGTAGCATTTATTGTTCATATTGTTAACAGTGCAATCAGTGAGGGACAAGAAATATTTTTTTCCAAAGGAAGTGAATACTTGCTATTAAGAGATCTCAACAGTACCTTTGGTTGACACGTATCCTACTTTTTTCTTCAACTGACAATGCTTCTGAGAAGGTGTCTGCTGTATCTGCATCACTATGGACTAGAGAATTCCCCAGTTCTGTGAGTGTGCTCCTGCTCAAACTAGTTCCTAAGGAAAACCTATCAAAACCTGGAACCTCAGCTGGTTTTTCTTCTTCAAGTGGTTCCCAGATATTCATCTCAAAAGAGCCTATATTTCTTTGCACACGTTTTAGGGCTTTCACTCTCACTTTATGAATAGAATGCATAACAACAGACATCATTTCCTCAGTTTGGGGACCTATAAAAGAAAAAAGAAGGTCTTAGAGTAAATTAAAATGTTTCCACTTAAGACAAAGGGGGACCCAATTCCAGTCCCTTGTGGGAACAAGGAATCCAACTGATGACTAAGATTTATTTCCACATTCTTACAGAGCATGCTTTCTTCAGTATTTGTTAGAAGGCTATGGTCCACATTTTAAGGCAGAATTGCCAAAGTTAGAGAAGGTCCATTAAAGAACAATAAAACAGACAGAATCCAGACTCCATAAGAACGTATGCCCTAGAAAACAAAAACTTAAGGAGTAATTTCACTGTTTTGGGGCTCCTGGGTGGCCCAGTTGGTTGAGCTTCTGGCTCACTTCGTGATCTTTGTGTCATGGGATGGAGCCCCATGTCAGGGTCCACGTTGGGCATGGAGCCTGCCTGAGAGTCTCTCTCTCCCCGCTCTTCCTCTGTCCCTCTCCCTGCACTCACTCTCCCTCTCTCAAATAAACAAATAAATCTTTTAAAAAAAAGTAATTTAACTATTAAAAAAATGAGACAGATAATTACAAAAAGAATCGCTACAACTTTTCCATTCCCAAGAGTGGTAAATAAGAGAAAATGAATATAATTTTAGCCAAAGAAACAAAAACACCTTTCTGACTTTAAATAACAGGAAACATTAGAAAGGGAAGTTTTTCAAGGTCACCTACAAAAAATAATTTAAACATTACTATACATAAACAGGACATTTTAGAGAATGTCAAGAAAGTATTAAGAAAAATATAAACCAGAAATATATTAATACAATAATGTATAATCATAAGACATAACTAGACTTATATACTATTTTTTTAGTTATAAAAAAGAGGGTAATTTGAATTTTTAAAAAATTTCCACAATGTGAATGTAGTTAATGTCACTGAATTATATACTTAAAAGTGGTAAATTTTATATTATGTATATATTTTAACCACAAGAAAAAAAATTTCCACAAGGGCATCTTGACTGTAGAGGATAAAATTAGAAATACAAATAACCATAAAGGAAGAGGAAGAACACTAGTTTTCAATAAAATATCTGCATTATGCAAAGCTCCATATGCTCATTTTATATATTTTATCTTCATCTTTTTGTTTTGTTTTGTTTTGTTTTTTTTGAGAAAGAGAGAGAGCATGCAGAGGGCGCTGTAGCGGGAGAAAGAGAGAATCTTAAGTGGGGTCCATGCCCAGCAAGGTGGGACTCGATTTCATAATCCTAACATCACGACCTAAGACAAAATCAAGAGTTTGGCGCTTAACTGACTGAGTTACCCAGGCATCCCTTAATCTTTTAATACACATTTGCAAAGTAGGTATTAGTATACCCGTTTTACAAATAAGGAAATGAGACCCATAGAGACTGAGCAACTCGCCTACAGTCACACAGTTATTAATTGACAGAACCATGACAGGAAGTCAGCTTTGTCTGGTTCCGAAGCAAAACTGGTGCTTCAGTGATGGAGGAGTGCTTATTTCTGCCTTCGCATACTATCTTCAAAGAAAGAAGAAATGCATAAAAATATAAGCACTAGTAATCACATGCTTTCAAAAGAAAACAAGAATCTTCCGTAATTCATCAGATACGTAAGAAATGACAAATACTACCTTTTACAACACAGTGTCTGAGTCTCTGCTGAAGAGAGTGATATTTTTCTCTTAAAGGAACCCTTATGTCCTCAGGATTGGGAAATGCTCTCACAAAAATTTCAGCTACCTTCAGAAAAATTTAGAAAATGAGTTTTATGAGCAACATCATTCTTAATTAAAGTAAAGCAAAAATCCTTTGAAATCTCTGATTTTCATTTAGTTTGTTTTCACTACATTCACATTACCTTTCTGATTGGTGGCAATTCTCCAATAAGGCTCAAAATTAGATCCTGAATAAGTTCTTCGATATTAGCAAATCGAGAGAAGGGCAGCATTCTGTATGCCCACTCCACTGCACTGAGACAGTGCTCAACCATACAGGAATCAAACTCCACTTCAAGGTCCTAAAAGGATATTGAGAAATACATTTCCTTTTCAATTTAGATGGACAGATCAGGAGTTCAAAAGAAAGACTTTTATAAGCAGTAAAATCTTCTATCAAGCAATAACTTCTCAAATAATATTTGTTCATTTTCCTTATTCTTGTTCAAGTAAATACCTTTTTTCCCTCCACATTTTCTCTTGCTTTCTGATACTGCCTGCAACTATAAGATAACTTATCACGAATATGTAGCATCCAACACAAAGCACAGAGTTCTCTGAAGCAACCTAAATCAGGAATACAAATATGAAAAACTGGATGAGTATGTACATTCATATAATAGCAACTTCACCACTGCTCATTTTCTTTCCAAAATAAATGTCTTTATTTTGTTGATTATAAAAGAAACATATGTTCATTGCCAACACCTTATATGAAAGTCATGAAAATCCTTTCAGAACTTTTATGTACATTATTCTAGAATATTTCATGCATGGACAGTTGCATAAAAATATTGAAAACATTTTTGGAGTAAATAACTTACTCTATTTACTAGTAGTTTACTTGCTTTAAGCTTCACAGCCTATTGTAGATAATGTTCAAAACCAATACACACAGCTGTACTTAATACTGGATAGTTAGTTTATCTAGAAAATTCCTTATGATAGGCAACTAAGTTTAAAATTTTTCAATACTAGAAACATACTTTCCACTATTGGACAATTTTTTAACTAAAAGCAATAAAAGTACACAAAGATATATATAATCATATTATGTATGCTGGGCTGAAACTAGGTCTTCTTTTCACTTAATGTATCCTGGATATCTTTCCTTGGTGGTAACATACACATACTGTCTTTTCATTGCCAATATAGTATTCCGTTGTATAGAAACTTCCTCAAATCAATTGTATATATTATAACATTATTAATATTTAGGCCTAATTTCTAAGCAAACAGTCCATTTTGAACAAACCTATTGCTTTAATGGAAACTTCATCAAGCTTGTGGTCTCCAGCCGCTCCAGGTCGAAAGAATGCTACCCCTTTTTTACAGTAATTAAGTAATGACTGAGGGAAAGGACTCAATGAAGGAAGGGACCCTTTCATTCGAATCTGAAAGAATGACAGAATATGTTAATTATCAGTCATCTGAATCTCTTTCTAAGGAAGGTATAATGGAACAAACAAGGCAGGTAAGATAAACCATATAGAATGGAAAACACCCCATGGTTCCTATACTATGTAAGAAAATATCCCTGACATGAGCTGTACTTTCAGAAACTTAGCTCACAAATTTAATTCAAGAAATTCACTAGACTACAGATGCCTGGGTGGCTCAGTTGGTTCAGCATCTGCCTTTAACTCAGGTCATGATCCCGGAGTCCTGGGATTGAGTCCAGCATCAGGCTCCTTGCTCAGCAGGTTCTTGCTTCTCCCTCTGAATACCACTCCCCTTGCTTGTTTACTCTCTGATAAATAAATGAATAAATAAAATCTTAAAAAAAAAAAAGAAATTCATTAGGCTAGGTCATAAAAGAGAAAAGAAGGTTTCAATCAATTTTTTTTCATCACTCAGTTTTGCCTATATAGAAAGAATTTAATGCTATTTGTCCTGACTTTCCCCAAAAGCATAATAAAGAAAAAAAAGATATTTAAGCATCTCTCCTCCAAAATAAAACTATGTGCAGTATCTAAAAATAAATATGACAAAAGTTATATCTACCTATATAACTTTCAAAAAACTTAAGTGAAAGAATTAAAGTCACCATTTGGCAACTCCTAATAAAGAAATGACTCCAGCAAGGATAATCAGTAAATGTTCAATTAGGTAAAAAGTTGCTGGCCTGATGGAGAATGTGAGTGGGTAAAACACAACCCGAACTCATGAATCCATTTCACCGTCACTAAAGTGAGATAAAAAGTCCTATGTGTCACATGATATGTAGCAACAGGGAAGTATACCACACCATTTATGAAGGACCCATTTCTAAGAAAATGTGAACCTGATCAAGCCTCTGTACCTCAATGAGTGTAGAGTAATTACTAACAGGGAAATAAAAGGAAAGAGGAATAAGTTAACTGACACCAAATAGATAAACTATCAAACACATGCACAATACAGTACAGGACAAATTACTATGTTTCTCTACAAATCAAGGAGAGAAAAGAAATTAAAGGAAACTGCTATAGAATAAAAGAAAAGGAATCTAAGAGACATAAACCTGAAAATGAAAGGATGAGCAGCAGGTTTCTAACCTGCTTTCTCCCTCTTCTATTCACTTCCATAAAGAGACAATCTCATCAAATCCCCTTGTAATCATGCTAATAACAGACATATTGCCAAACAAATGCACAGTATTTACTAGATATACAGAGCCTAGCTAGGTTGGTTATTATAAATAAACATAGAATGCATGGATTTTTGCAGTAAATTGTGTGGAAATGTCACACAAGCTCTATAATTAAAGGAGATGTTCAGTAACTGATACTCTCTTGTGTCATGTTAAACAGAGCTCAGATCACATTCTCCCACAGCAAGAAAAACCTTGGTAGCAACATATGCAATTGCAAGCTTCACCTAAGTCTTTTAGTTATATCCTTGAAATCATTGGTATAAAGTTTGATCCTGGATAAGTCTGTTGATTCTTATGAGTCAGACTTGATAATATAGTCCTTCCTATAAGCTCATAACCAAACATGGGTGAACTTTGTTTGGACTTTAATTCTAAAAAACCTACTATTAAAAAGACATTTTCAAAATCAGGGAAATTTTATTATGGACCAGGTATTAGACATTAATAAGTAATTATTGTTAACTTTGGTATAATAGTATGGTGGTTTTGGGGCACCTGGGTGGCTCAGTGGGTTAAATCCTCTGCCTTTGGCTCGGGTCGTGATCCCAGGATCCTGGGATTGAGCCCCGCGTTGGGCTCTCTGCTCGGCGGGGAGCCTGCTTCCCTTCCTCTCTCTCTGCCTGCCTCTCTGCCTACTTGTGATCTCTGGA